TATATTATTGTTGTTTCATATCGCTCTTTGCAGGCAACAATTGCACATCAGTTGGGGTTGGAGATTTCCACGGTTGCCAACTTCTTTATGAATGCAAGGCGACGCTCTCTGGAGAAATGGCAAGATGGTGGGGACAGCAAAAACTCCTCCGTCATTGATTCCCCATCTCCACAGTCCTCTACAGATCCCTCTGAAAGTCTTGCTGTAAGTACTGAGGACTCCACATCGATTGCCCATCTTGGTGGTGGCGCCTATCCTCCGTCTGGACTTGCAACCGCCAGTTATCCCAGCACCGATCAGACCTCGCTTTATGCTGCAGTCTCTATGGTGTCGTGTCAGGCTTCAAATCAAGTGTATGTGCAACAGCCGGACTATTCCTTTGCTCCGAGCCAGCAGAACTTTCTTTCACCGTCAAGCCAGCAGCGATTCCATCCCTACACAAAGACGAGGGGTCCCACCAACTTTCAGTCCCAGTACTTTGGGTCTTATCAACAAGAGCAGCAACCATCTACACTGTCATCACCACCACCATCGCAAATGGTGCTTCACCATCCATCTCGGCAAACGCAACCACCACCATCATCATCATCACAACAACAACATCAACAACACCAACAACAGTCGAGTTCTCTATTTGATCTGCGTCGTCTCGCATCGGCTTCTCAACTGGACCCGCATTTCCTGGCTACCGCAACAGAGTTGAGTGCAAGCCATCAGTCATTGCGCGACCAAGCCCTCGAAATATGCTCCAACATGGCTGCAGCAGCAGCAGCTGCTGCCAACGCCAAGTTCAACGCGGTTCCCACCTCTACTGAGAGACAGTTTTTGAAACAGGAAGCAGAGACAAGTGCAGAACCAGAGGAGGACTACCTTGCCGACAGATAAAATATGAAAGGCAAATCTACAAATCCACTAGTTTAAATACCCACGTTATAATCATAATAATATCAAATATCTAGAACACTATGGTGCTACTATTATCATTATATAAGTAACATTGCTCGGCGAAGCGAAGATGTTTAGGGTGGATAAGCAAGAAAATTCGTGTGTAATTTGAATGCCTTCACAACTTTCTACCCCTTTCCACCTCCCCTTGAGTCCGCACGTTCATGAAGAGGAGGTGCGGGATCATGTAGCCACCACTGAACTCACTTGCATCCCTCGTCGTCCCCCTCTCCTGTCGTCAGACCCCCTCTTCTTCTTCTTCTTCTCCTCCTCCTCTTCCTCCTCCCAATATCTCCCCGCTTCCCACGCCACCTTTGTCTTTGCATATTTTGTTGCAATTATTCTTGTTATTGTATGTGTGTATGTGTACGTATGTGTGTGTGCGTGAGTGGTTTGTCGTAGCATTTATTAATGATGAATTTTTCAATTTGAAGTTAGCGAATATACATAAAATACGCGATTAGTGCCTTTTAGCCGGCGATTTTGTTTTGCCACTTTGCCTGAATTACTGGGTGGTGTGTGCCGGGCACATTGACAAGACAAAGGGGCGAATGACAGGGCAACGCACTATGCAAGGCTTCGTTGAGGGCGTCGTCGACGTCGTCCCAGTTTGGTGCCTCCTATGCAGAGGTGTCTTCGGCCCCTGAGCTGTTGGCTTATTGTCGTCCCTCTAACTTCGCACAGTTCCTTGCATACACAGCGCTCCCACTTAGATGCAAATATGCACACTTTTGGGTAAGGAAGTGGTCCTATATGGTCTGAGGGCAGAACAGTTCCACTACTTAAAAGGGTTGGACAGCTGAAAACTGTTGTGTAGACATGACAGGGTAATTATGGTGGTGGTGTTGATTGTTGCTGTTGTGGTAAATGATTAAAAGGGCTGTGGAAATTTTCTCTGTTACAGAGGACGGTCACTCAAGTTCCAGTAGTCGGTCGATAGTCACAACTTGGAAGTGCTGGTCTGTCCAGTTGTCTAATCCCATGTGACTGGGCAAAAGGGCTTGGCCCCTGTATCACTGATCCCTTCCGAAAGCTTCATTCAGCTTCGCAATGAGAACTTGTGACGAGGGAGGTTGTAGAAGCTTAAGAACAATGTCAGTGTAATAGGAAATTATGAATACCGCCCAAAGGCGGCATATGCGCTACATTTGCACTCCAAACTTTCTCCACAAACGCCAGAGGCCAGGATTGGGTTCGTCCTCACAACAAATTCGTTTGCTACTGTCACCGATTTGGCGATCTGAGACGCTTACTTAGACAGTGAAGGGCATAGTGCACGGTGGAACACACATTTAAACGGAGAGAAGCGAGATGGAGCGTTTGGCTTGGCCACCATAACTGGAAATGGCGATTTGACCATTCAGATTACCACGTTTTACATCAGTATGCAATTTGTCGGTGTGTAGACAATGCAGCTGTGCGGCCAACAGCCGCATAATCATTGGGTCAAACCAAATTCCAACCTCGCTTTCCCCCCATTCCCCTTGAAAGCAGGTAGTAGGCTCAACGTGATCCCTTGTCTCCAATTTAATGAGAAGTCTCAGACTGGCGGTGGCAAAGTATCTTATGTGTGTTACCCTACTGTTCACCGTTTGTGTCATATCAGCGGCGCAAATGCAACGCAAATAATTCGGGCGGGAGATTCTCTAATTCCTCATAGCGTATGGCTGTGTTCAATAGGCAAGCTAGTAACAGCTGAAGTGACATGACTGTGAACCACCCTCTTAATACATCAGTGGAGAGAAGGCGAGAAAGACTCTACACGGGATCACTTTTGATAGAGGACTGCGTTTGCTCTCAGTTCGCCTAATATATATCTTTTTTAAACTGTTAAAACAACTGTAGCTCCCCGAGACTTCCCACCGAGTAGAAAAAAGCAGTAAGTGGAGCCGCATACGTGCATTCCAAGGGGAACAAGGTAATTAGGTCTGAGCATGGACCGAAGGTCAGCCCACATGCACAAGGACCAGACAAATCTTACAGTGATCACCAGACATCAAAAGATCACCTAAACAGAGTTTTGCACCAACACCGATTTCTCGAAACGATATATAATCAGCGGAAAATATTCTTCTGATTACTACTTCTCACCGCAAGTAAATCCCAGGGAGGAGTGGGAGATATCTTGTGGTAGTTGCGGGGGACTTTACTTAAAAAAGGGAAACACAATATAATATTCAGTTAATGTGACCACCTGCATGACTGACTGTCACGCTTATATTCGTTTTATCCAGGACCAGGACACTTCCAGATCCCTTTATTTTGCTTCTTCATTTCATATATATAGCGTCACGCTATAATATAATCCCAAACCTAATTTTACATACAAGTTCAATTATAGAATGGAAATTAAGTATTGTCTCCATTGGAACTGTGTGGAAGTCCAAATAATACATTTGCAATACTCACATAAGCAGGATAAAATGCACAAATAAATAATGCTCGTTTAAGTGCTTTTGTTGCATTATTCTAATCACAATGGTACATAATTAATCATTTATCTTCACGTAATTATTTTTCTGAATATCGAGGTAAAAAGATAACAAGGTCAAAGCAAACACACACGGAAAACACTGACGGTCGCGTATTAATTTAGCTATCCAAATGCCAGATGATATAAGTTCATCGATTGAGAAATCTCAGCTTTGTATTAAAGGTAACACTTTTATAAAAATTCGTACCTATGATACGAAGAATCAAGCTCCGATGATTGCACACCGGAATTAAACGTCAGTGTAAGTAAGCATTTTGTAAAATTATTTTAGTCTGGAAGCATTGAAAATCAGTAAAAACGCGCTTTACCAAGGCAGACATGTTTTAGAGAAGAAGATAAATCTTGTCATATTCAAAATAGACCGGAGAGTGTTGAACGTCTCAGTAACATTAGTGGGACTGACGTAAGCTACCTCAATGATGATAAATTTGAAAATTTATTGCTCCATGCTGTTGTTCATAATTTGTAATTTATCTTCTAATAAACAATATAAACGATATAAATTTCTTTAAATACAGGTTGCAGCCTCTCATTTTATTTTGAACACAGCACAAGAAATCAAGGGGTAAAATTTTGGCATTATTTTCCGTAATTGCAAATATGAGCTTTGCAAAATTTTTTGAGCAATATTTCAGTGGTGATGCAGAAGATACAAAGAAGAATGGAGCTGAATCTCCACAAAATCCAGATTGCCATGATACTGCTGACATCCCAGAGGTGAGCCTTGTCTCCCTATCTCAAGTTACCTTGTTAATTACTATCGTTTTAAAAATAGATCCGAAGCTCTCAACTTACTTACTGTAGTTAAAACTTTATGTTTTGGCAAAATTTGTGCACTGTTTTTTTAATTCAATTTGTCCGATTAGGTTTTTTTGACATTGACTATTGTTCCAAATGTCGCCCTAATTCTTTTGCTAAATGTAGCCTTGTGTGGATATTGAAACAAATAACGAAGTTGCGTTTGTCAAGTAAGTTTTATCTTAATGCATCACAAGGGTATAGGGCATAGGTCACGATATTTTTAAAGTTAATATTTATTTAGACCCCCACAAACATTAAATAATCGACGCTTAAACGCGATTGAAGAAGATTTAGGGGATCTAAAAGAAGTTCGACAACTAGGCGACCGCCGATTGCACAAAGAACTCGTGGCCAAATCGCAATCTCTTAAAGAAATGGAAGAAAAGTTCGTCAAAGTTTCTGCCGAACTCGAGGTTTGTTTACACACCTAAGAACTTTAATGCTTTAGACAAATGTCGTAGATGCTAAAGCCAAGAATAAGGCGTTGGAGGATATTTTGCGCAACAAACAGGAGGTGCTTCAGCGCGTTACTGCAGAACGCGATGCTATGCGCAAAGCGAAGTGCACACTCGCCCTTCGTCTTCAGGTGGCAGAAGATCAGCTTCGAGATGTGGAGCACAAACTCAATAGTCGCGTTCTCGGTGTTGAGATGGAGAAGGCTCGCCTCTCCGAAACCTTGGAGGGTGTGCGCACGGTCACTGAGACAGCTGAGGAGGTTATCGCGCGAATCCAATGAACACTTTGTGATGCCGGTGTGTCAGTGCCTCAATACATGCCCTCTTTCAACTCCCCAACCTCCTTGATTCAAAAGTTAATCGACTACGTAAGTATCACTCACCAAAAGTAAATAATTCGCATTCCTTGTTTTGTTTTTGTAGACAAATCAACTATTATTAGAATTTCAAAAGCTTTCCAAGCAGCGGGATGCCTTGAAATGTGAAATAAGTAGACGAGAAATGGATGAAGTCAAATCACAACGTGTAAAGGAGTTTTTGCATCATGAGGTAGATCGGTATGCCAATGAATGTCGGCGATTATCACAAGAATTGGGTGCGTTGCCCAGTGACGATTCTCCATGTTAGCCAATATCAGTTGGTCATAAAAATCTTGCAAACTTCAGAGAGAAGACAGAGCTTGTCGACAAATATGGAAATCAAAGATTCAAACTCTGAGCTAAAGGCCAACCATCAAGTGAAAAAGAACGGCATGGTGGGTGTTTTAATGTTTTTATAGCCGATTAAATCTTGACAAATATGCTTAACGGGAAACCGCATGAGCAGTGAATTTATTGCGGCAAGGGAGACCCTACCAAAAGTAGAAAATAATTGCTCTTTTAAACATATGTCCAGGGCTAGGAAACAGACGGAGTAATTTTGCAGAAAAAAACGATGTCATTGATTGTTTCCGTTGTTTATAAACCCAAAACTTGTTGTTTTTCCAGGTTGGTGAAGAACTCCTCCTGCCCGATGCGAAGCCAAACCACGTCACCCGTGGTCTGGACCGTACTGGTACGTAACTCTTCACATCAAATCGACACATTTTAGTAACTAGTAACGCAATCTCCTCCTCCAGGCGA